AACACCCAGATAAACTGAATCAGCGTGGTTCTGGGTGTGAAAGACACACCTGAGGATTTTTGCCAGCAGTGTAAAAAGGGGACTTTTATGGAGGGGAAGATGATGTGCTGTTAATTCTCCTGGAGGGGCTTCTTGCTTTAGTTTTCCTGACATGACCTTAGCTATTCTTATTGTGGAGGAACTTGGGTCCTTGCTGTCACTGAGGATGGCTGCTGTTCTCTTCAGGGGAGCTCTGGTCCTTACCTGCAGTATCACTTCCTGGCTCCAGTGCAGAGCCCTCAGCCTACTGGCACAGATCCTTTATCCTGTTGGCACAGACTTTCTAGCTCCCACCACTGACCTTTGGGCCTTCCCAGTGCAGATCCTTGATACGGACTTGTATGAGGCATTGTCGTGGGCTCTTAGCCTTCAGCTGGACTCGTGGAGGACATTGCCATGGGCTCTAGGTCTTCAACTGGACTTGTGCAGGACATTCGCATGGGATCCAGGCCCTCAGCTGGATTCTTTGGGTCTCTAGTGCATGGAAAGATCTTCTACAGTCTTCTGCATTTGATCTTTTGGGTGAATATTATAAAATAATCCTATAAATTATGTGTCCTGTATTAAATATATTCCTTTGTAAACCCTGACTCCAACAGGGGTTATCTATGATTGTCTACAATTCTCACCCTTTCCCCTTTTTCTGGGTGTAGAAACAAATGCACTGTGAGATCACAGGCCCAAGCCTTTATTACACAGCTAGCAGTGGCCCATATGAGGCCTAGAATTCTGGTCCCTTAAATTGAAGGCAATTTCAACCCCCAGAGAGATAGCTTGACCCCTTTGTATGTGGGCATGTTGTGCTTTGGGGTCAAAGCAAATAAAGGCTCAAACTCCTGTATTGTTTAGGAGACCTGCTACAGTACACACTGGAGGAGGAAAAACCTGCTTAAAATTGCTTAAGTAGTTTATTTATGAAAAGGACCCTTATATTTTAACTTTCTACTGAAATTGAAAAGTTAAATTCCGCTTTCATTTGTCCTTATGCAGTCAATCAGGAACTAACTCAAGATTCTTCCCCAGGAAGCAACTCATAATTATTATTCTCTCTTTTTAAATTATTTCTAAATGACAATACCAGGAAAGGCATACAGTGTTTCTGGATGGAAAAACTTAATTTTCCCTAATTTAATTTATAAATCTGAATAATCAGAGTCCCAGTCCCAGTGTAATTTTTGTTAACTTGACAGAAATGTTCTAAAAGTAATCTGGAGATCTAAGCAAGCAAGAAAAGATACAAATTGTAGTTTGGGGTTTGCAAGGAAAACAATACAATACAGAACACATATTTTATAAGATTATTTATAATAGTCACCCAAAGAATCATATACAAAAAGAGAGTGCAGGAAATCTGTCCACACACTAAAGACCAAAGAATCCAGCCGAGGGCCTGGATCCCACGGACATGTCCTGCATGAGTCCAGCTGAAGATCCCGAGCCCATGACAATGCCTCCCATGAATCCAACTGGAGGCTTAGGTCCCATGACAATGTCTCATGCAGGCCTGTTTCATGGATCTGCGCTGGGAAGGCCCAAAGGTCAGTGGTGGAAACTAGAAAGTCTGTGCCATCAGGATGAAGGATATGTGCTAGCAGGATGAGGGATCTAAACTGGATCTAGGAAGCGACACTCAAAGCAATAACCAGAGCTTCCCCGAAAAGTTCCACAGCCATCCTCAGCAATAGTGAGGTCCCAAGCTCCTCTGATGAGAAGGAAAGCTGAGTTCCCATCAGGAAAGCCAATGTGACAAGCTTCTCCAGGAGACTGAGCAATGCACCATCTTCCCCTCTGGGAGCCAGGAAGCCATGCTCAAAGTAAGGACCAGAATTTCCCATAGTGAACTGAAGCCATTCTCAGTGATAGCAAGGTCCTGAGCTCCTTGGATGGTGAGAATAGCTGAATTCATCAGGATAGCCAGCATGACAAACTCCTCCAAAAGAACCAACAGCTGCTTAAAGCTTCTAACAGCACCCAACAGCTTCCACAAGTGCCCAACAGCCGCTCTTCTTCTCCAGTTCTGCCTCTTGCTACTGGCAACAATCCTCAGGTTGGCCTTCCACACTCAGTACTATGCTGGTTCAGTTCATCTGGGTGTTACAAGTTGACCACCAGTTGTCAATCCACCACAAGAATAATGAACAAAATTAACAAAAGAACTTGAATGACCAGGTAGCAACATGTGGTAAAATTATAGTCATGTGATCAGTATATGTATCAAAGACGTGCGAATATAGATTCATGGCACAACAGAGACTGTGAAGAGAATAACTGTACCAAAAAGGTTTACATATAGAGCCACTGGAGGAAAGGATGAAATGTTTAATAAACAATGTGGAAGTAACTCAGTTATTTTGGGAAAAGTAAAGTCTTAGGTCATGTACTAAAATGCAGTTTAGATCGATTTAAAAAAATAAAAATCTGGTCTTAGGGTATAGCTTAGGAGTAGAATACTTGCCTAATGTGCATAAGATCTTGTTTCAATCCCTCTCACCACACACACACTAAAAATAATACTCTTCATAATAATATTAAAATAAGAATATAAAGGATAAATAAAGAAGCAGGCGTGATGGCTCATGTCTATAGTCCTAGCTGTCTCAGCGGCTCAGGCAGGAGGATCACAAGTTCAAGGCAGCCTGACCTACTTAGTGAGACTCTATCCCGAAATAAAATACTAAAATAAAATAAAATAACTGGGAATGTAGCCCAGTGTAAGGCCCTGGGTTCAATTCTCAGTATACAAAGGATAGAAATCTAAGAGAAAATAAAAAATGTATGCATATGTATCTTGGAAAAAAATTTAAACATAATACTAAATGCCAACTTAAAATACTCTTGTGTTTGATGATTGAAATATTAAACCTTTAAAATAAAAAAGTAAGCAAACCTCAATGTTCTTATTGTGAGATTAGGTCCTACATGTTTTAGGACCTAATAAACCATACAATAAAAACTTTTCCCTGGATTCTTTTTAAATGTAAATGGATCTTAGCAGGAGGGTGAGGAGGCCTGGAGGGAGAGGTGTGTGATGGGCTGGTAGGGTGTTGAGTTAGCTTTCCATCATTGTAACTAAATACCTGAGATGAACAATGTAGAAAGAGGAAAGCTTTATTTTGGCTCACGGTTTTAGAGGTTTCAGTCCATGGTCAGCTGGCCTGTTACTTTTGGGCCTGTAGGATGACAACACGTCATGGTGCGTGTGCATGGTAGAGGCAACTTCCCACCTCATGGCAGTCTGGGAGCAAAGAGAGACAGGACATGACTTGAGTCCTGATATTACCTTCATGGTCTCATACCCAGTGATCTAACTTCCTACAATTAGACCCCACCCCTGAAGGCTTCCACAACCTCCAACTAATACCTTAAGCAGATGACTGAGCCTTTAACATATGAGCCTTTTGTAGACATTTCAGATCCAAACTATGGCAGGTGTTGAAAAGTGGAGCCAGACCTTACCTAATCTGGGGTTCCACATTTCCTGCCAGTACCATCATTTTATGAGGGGATCTGAAAGCTGGAGGAGAAATTCATCATAGGTAAGACACCCTGATGCCTAAACATGGTAGCATTTCCAAGGAAGATTCTTTCTCACAGAGTCATTCCTCTGAATCTTGTTTTTTTGTTTGCTTGTTTATTTTGCTTTGCTTTACCCCAGATTCAGTGGGAGATCGATGAAGTTCATAAGTTCATAAAGTTTTATGGATTGCTCTTAAGGGAAAGTTTTGCTATAAGTTATCATTGTAACTTAGCAAGATTCTGTCTCAAAATAAAAAATTAAAAAAGGGCTGGGAGCACAGCTTGGTACAAAGGTCCCAGATTCAATCTCCAGTGCTGCAAACAAAATAAAACAGAACACTGATATTTCTACAAGTACAGTGGACTCAAGGCAATGTAATGATTTCCTCTGAATGTGGTCTGGGGGTGGAGACAGAAATAAGAAGTACTAGAGTTCTTAGGTCACAGGCTATGTGCATTTGGTATTTTAATAGCTGAAGCTTACCTGTCCCCCACAGAGCTGACTCCCACCTGTACTTCCCCAGGAGTGGCAGAGATTGTGCTCGTCACCAGTCTTTGACCAACATGCCCTGGCACACATTTTGATCTGTCAGTCTGAGAGGATCTTTTGGTGAAATCTTAGTTTATATCTTTGATTATAACTGAGATCAGATATTGTTTCACATGTTTAAGAAGTACCCAAATTTCATTTTCTGGGAACCAGTGAGTTCTTTAGAGCTGAAGTTGACCTTAGAGTTGAAGTCCAGCAACAAACGTGGAGACTGTTGGCCATCACTGTGGAGCACTTGATGCCACAAGACCAAACACCAGGTCTCCTATCATAAAAGTCCTTGGAGTGAGAGTAAGACAAGTTCTGTAACAGTCTGTGAGGGTGGATTTGGCTTCAGAACTGGAAAGTCTGGAAATGACAGGGCAGTGCCACAATCCCTTGGAAGTGAGACTAAGGCCTGTGCGACCCTGAATGCTAATCAGAGTAGCCTGATCACTTGCCCTTGTCACATAATACATTAAAGTCCTCTGGAAACTTGGCTAGGAGTTCTTGTACCTTCCATGAACTTCAGGTACCTTGTCTATAAAATGCAATTAATATTAGCTGCTTCTGCCAAGATTGTGAGCATTGGGTTTAATATGTATAAAGCAGCTGACACAAATAGGCTCCCAACTCTTATCACCCTCCTTATATTTGTGTGGCTTTATCTGACTTCCTCATTACCATGGAAACTCTGGGGGAATTTCGGGAGGGCAACTACAGCTGCTCTTAGGAGCCTCTGTGGTCCACACTGTTGTCCTGCATGTACCCTTCACTTAGTTCTAGCTCCCCCAGCCTCACCCCAATAGCTGTCAGCATCTAAGTCATTCCTTTGAGATATTTCATGCACAAGGGGACATCACATTGACATTGACCCGCCCCCCCCAGGATTAAAGAAGAAAGTCTGCACACTTTGTCATGCTCAGCTTTTTATTCAAGATCCCTTTTTCATGTTTGTCAAGAGATAGGAAAAGGCTCCGGATTGTAAAAGGGAAGACAGCTGACCACATCACGAGACCCAGTGTCACAGCAGTAAGGAGTGGAAAGAGGGAAGGAGGGGAGAACTGCTAGAAATTTGTGCTTCTCAGTGCAAAGTCTAGGTGATTGCGATGTGGTTATTCCCTGGCTAGTCTCTGGGTCACCAGAGTCAAGTTTTTTTTTTAATAGGGTTTTTACTTCACTGTTATTATTTATGTTATCCAAAAAGAATCAGATCATGTGCAAGGCTGGGGCCAGAATGGAGTGGCCCCAGCCTTCCCTTTTCAGAGGTCATGGAGGCTCCTGCCCTTTCTCCTTGGCCTCCTGGACATTGCTCCAGGGTGGAGAGGCTGGAGAGGTGTTTTTAGCCTTTTCTTCATTGCCCCTGATTATCTTTTCACCCAGTGTTAGTTACAGTACAAGCTGTTAGCAGCTCTAAAAAATGAATGAAAAAGTTAATCTTTACAGGCCTCTCTGTCCTGCTTCCAATTCCAGAGCTTCTTCACAGGTGGCTCCTGATCAACCTTCTATCCATGATATCCTGTATCTCTGATGAAAATGCAGATTCTTAGCCTCCTCTCCATTCTAGGTCTTCTGAACCAGGATCTGGGGGTGAAGCCCAGAGATACGCATTTTCAACAAGCAGTCCCAGGAATTCCTTGAAGTTTGGTGCCACTGTTATGCTACATTATCTCTTTGTTTTTTCCCCTCTCTTTCCTGTTTCACCTTATGTCATTTCTTCCTTTGTGCCTCCCACTCCTGCTCACCTGTTTGTTCCCTCCTACTTCTACTTAATGCCAAGGAGAAGGATCTAGAGTTAATAGCCTGCTGAACTGTCTTTTTAACAAAGTAAATTGAAGTCTTTTGAAAACTCTCAGCTAGGAGAGGGAAAAAGATGTATGTTTCTTATTGATTTATTTGTCTGTATTAAAGAAAGCCCGATTAAGAACTATCCTCAGAGGTTCAATCCTGAGGGGTTCCATCTTGAGCACAGCAAAAAAATTAAACTAGGCCAGGCATGGTGGCACACACACCTGTAATCTCAGCACTTGGAAGGCTGAGACAGGAGGATTGCTGGGTGTTTGAGGCTAGCCTACAAAGTGAGTTCAAGGCCAGCCTGAACTGCATCATGAAACCCTGTCTCAAAGAAAAAGAAATTAAACTAAACTAAAGTAAACTAAATTAGAGAGATCCTCTCCAATCACCAGTTTTGTGAAGCCCATCTTTTTCAAGGGGCCTCCAGTTTCTAGCTACTTTTCCAAGGGAGAGGGATCTTGGAAATGCTCCAAGAAAGTTGACCATCAACAATCCTAGAGTGGAAAACACCTGAGGGTCTTTGCTAGAGGCATCTGTGGAAAAAGAGACTGATGGGACCGGAAGTAGTGCAAAAGAAAGTGGGGGATCTTGGGGGAGTTCTTGTATGGAGCTTGGGGTGGTGCCAACAAAGTCCTGAACCTCTGCTTTTGTCTTCACAGCTACTGAAGGAAGAGACAAGATGAGTGCAGAGGTAAGTGCTCTATAAAAACTACTTGAACGGCTGCTTTTTAAAATTTTTTTACAATATCCCTTTCTTCTCCTTTGCAGAGTATCCTTTCCCCCCACAAAGCTTTCAGAAACATCAGCACAAACTTGAAAATATCCCCCTCCAACCTACCAATTTGATTTTGGTTCTTGGTGATACAGGAAGAATTAGGCTCCTCTGAGTTCTTATCAGTGACCACCCAGCTTCATTTAGATCTGAACCCACCCACTTCAGCTAATCTTGAAACAACACTCAAGAGTTGAGGGTGGGGGTAGGGTGTGTGTGTGTGGGTGGTACCAGGCCCAGATGCCTGCTTTGTGTTATTCAAGGACTCTTCACTGTTTACTCAGACCTGTCTGCATTATCTCCTTGGTGCTCTCACTTCCTGTTCTTTGATCCAAGGAAGAGTCTGGCTTGCTTATCCTTTTCTCTCTTCCTTTCACTCGTTTGCTCCTTCCTCCTGTAACACTCTTCGCAGTCTAGCCTGAACCTTGGCATTTATCACTTCAGCCACTACTGTATTGTGCTGATGTCTTCAACTCCATTTCTCCTTGTCCTGCTCACCACTGCCCCTCTCCCAAAAACCTGGAGTTATCTACAAGGGATGGTGGTTGTGGGAGAGCGGCTGTTTGCCGCTGACAGATGTCTCAGAACCCTTGTCTAGGGTCTCAGCCCACACAGCTCTGTCCCATTGCCCTGGACAATCAGATCCAGTCTTCATCGTTCTTCTGAATCTCTGTACTCCTTACAACCCCTTCCTCACCCTTAGCATCTGCATCGCTTTTTACTTTACAGAGAACTATGTAAATATCCCACCTGACATTGTCTCTTAGTTCCTACCTCTCCATGTGTCTTGTTCCTCTTGTTGCATGGAAAGGCTGTTCATCAGTGAATAGAAGCTGTGAGTATTCAAAATCCTAACGGAAAGTGCCTTTTGTTTTGAGATAGGGTCTTGTTTTGTAGTTCAGGCCAGCTCTGAATTCACTGTGCAGTCCACACTGGTCTCAAACTCGTGCTCCTCTTGCCTCAGCCTCCTGAGTGCTAGGATTATAGGTGCAAACCACTGTGAGCAGCTCTAATGTGGCTTTTTTACTGTAGTCCGATGAAGGGCAGTCTTCACGGCTGGAAGATCCAATGGCTCAAAGATCTCATCAAGGGCCCAGGATCTTTACTTCCTTCTATTCTCCATCCTAGAGTTGACTCTGCCTTAGGGGCCGTTCTTGTGGTTATGGCATGGCTGCCAGCTACAGGTTGGGCTGCACCCTGCCTCATCCCCTTCCAGTAGTAGAAAGAAGTGGCTTCCTGCAGCTCTTTCAGAAAAGTGGGAACTTCTTTTTTATGAAACTCCAACAAAGGCCTCCTTAGTCTTATTGGCTGGAATCAGATCACCTGTCCCTTGGTGGACCAGTCACTGTGTCCAAGGAGCAGGGCCTTTGCTGATTGGCTTAGACTAGTTAGGCTCATCCTGGAGAAGCTTCTCTACTGCTGAGCCTGGTGGAGGAAGAGGAAGCGGAGGAGATGTTGGGTTGCATCCACCCACAGCGGGTCAGGCCATTTCTTTCCAAGGCATACCCTTCTCACACTCAGACTGCAAACTTTCCTGCCTGCCAAGACCTTGCGCTGCCTCCTTAATTATCTCCTTTGTCAGCTGCACTGTTCATCTCTTTTCTACTAGCTTTCATTAGTATTTCAAAATGATTTCATTGTTACTTTCTTCAGAACAAAATAATATCTCATATCTTATGGAACAGTTGCTGCCCTACCTTTTTCATCGCCTTGAGCCAGGCTTCCTGAGAGAAAGAGAGGGAGGTAAGGAGGAGGGAGAGAGATATCTGTAGCTCATTTCTCCTCCCTGAGTCATTGTTGACCTATATTGTACTTTGGCTTCTTTTCTTGCATACATGCAGAGATTGTGTGACTGTCACCACACTCAGGGTGCAGAACCTCACCCCAGATCATTTCCTTCTGTTGCCCCTTCATAGTCCCAGCCTCCCTTCCCTGCTCCTGAACCCTGCAGCTCCTGTGTGATACTCATTTAATTTGCACAATTGTGTTTTGTTATAGTTGAGGCCTTAATGTCTCTTCTTTTTTGCACTCTATTGTATTTCAAAATGTCACACAGTTCATCTGCCACACAGCCCCTGGGTTGTGCATCCATTTACTCCTAACTGAAAGCCTCTGGGCAGGATGTTGCTATTACCTGTTTTGTAGGTGAAGAAAATGAAAGGTATGTAGATTGCCCTAAGAAACAGGAATGGGGAGTTAAGAGGAAGAATGGGGATGAAGTCCTGATGCATCTCTGTGAATACCTTTGTTCATGTCTAGACCCAGCAAATCCTGTCCATGAAGTTCTTCTGCTGTTTCTGCTGCATGAAGAGTTTCTTGGATTCCTCTCTCTGGAAGGGACACTTCCTGTGTGTGAATTCCTTCTGCTCTTTATTTTTTTCCCTGGTTACCTTCTGTCTCTTGATTTCAAACAGCTGTCTACACTCCTTGTTCACCTTAGTGTCCCCAAGCATCAGGGTGATATCTCCTAGTGTTCTCACTGATTTCTATGGTTTGTGTCTAGAAGTCCCCTCACAGCCTCATGTAGTCATATCTTTTTGGAAGTGGCTGGATCTAGAGTGTGTGATGCTTGGATCAAGGATGTGATGCTAGGATAAAGTGTGCCCCACCATGACTGTGGGTGTTGCCCGCCTTAAGGGCGGATACCCTGGATAGAATATAAGGGACAGTAAAAGGGCTGCTATTGTAGCTTGCTACTTGCTGCTTTTGCTGCCTTCTGCCTGCCAAGAACTATTTCTCTTCTGTGCTGTCTCTCTGCCATGCCACCCCACCTTAGAGCCAGCCCACTGTGAACTGAAATCTCTACAAACTGTGAGCAGAAATAAACCGTTTCTCCTTTAACACTGCCTGTCAGGTATTTTGTCCTAATAATCAGAAATGTAACTAAGACACTGAATGTCAGCTAAGTAATAGGCTGGCTCAGAGGCTGCTGAGAGGCCTTGGGATGTGATCCAGAGCTTGGGCAGTCAGTGGAAATGTGCAGTAAAGAAATCCCATAGCAGAAGTGGTCTTGAAAGACTTGCTGTGACTCCAGATGCCCTTAGGAGGGGGAAGGTGCAGAAGGATCCTCCGCCAGAATCAGCCCTTTGATCTCAGAGGGTGTTTTTGTAAGACAGGAATGACACCAGGGATCACAAGCTTTTCTGGCTGGGTAGGATTTGTGGGGCCTCCAGCCTTTGCCCAGAAGTTGAAAGGACAGCAGGTCAGGTGGGATAGATGACCGGGGTTCAGCAGAGCCTGAAGATCCAAGTCACAGTGAGACAGCCAGCAAGCAATGCCCCATTTTCATTTCTTTTTGGGACTGAAACTGGAAGGAGAAGATGGTGTCTCTCATTGGGCTTTGGGAGACACACACACCTCTGGGGCAGGATGAAGAAGGAAGGTGGTGAATCATGAAGAGAAAACCATGGCACTGTGTGGTGAGAGAAGATGGAGTGAGTTCACAGCAGGTCCATTTAAGCGTCCAGTGTGTGAGTCCAGGAGTATGTGGCTGGGGGGACGCCTTTGAACACGGCGGTGTGAAGGCCTTGGATGACCTGTGGACCACTTGCCTTAGGGAAGCAGCGGGGAGGGACGAGGAGAGGTGAGAGGAGCAACAGTCACCACCCACAGGTGTGAGGAGTCTGGGTGATTTCGGGACACTGGAAAGAGCATGGTTGTGGGCAGAAAGCCCCAAAGTAGGGCAGCAGAAGACATCCAGCATGTTGGGGGAACCCCAGGAAGAACGAGGATGGTGTGCTGCCCGCTACCCAACTCCCGCCCTCTCGGGGCATCCCTCTGCTGTGCTAGCTGTTTACAGTGCTTGTTTATATTTGGGTGGATAATACATGCATGTGTTTCAGAGTTTTAAAGGATTACAAAAGACTGTGAGGAGCCCTGTTCCTTGCCACCCCTGTTTCTCAGCTCCTCGGGGGACCATGTCACCAGAGCCACTGGTTTCTTGGCTCTCATTTTAGGGAGAGGTTAAGACTTCAGCCTCCTCCCAGTTTGTGTTCACTTTCCCTCCCACCTGTCTTTTTTCCTTTTTTTCCTCTGCCTCTGTTTCCTACCCACAGAGAGTTAGCTGCTGTTAGAGGGATAGTGTGGTGCTGGCACTTGAACCATTATGCTAAGCATGGTGCTCTATACTTTGCTTTTCTCACCTGATGGCATATCTTAACGCACACTTATTTTCAATACATAAAGTTTCCATGTTCTTTTTTTTATAGCTGTGTACTAGTCCATTTTACACCCACTTGCTTTATAGATTATTTAGTCCTTTGCTTCTTATAGGTAAGGTTGTAAGAAGGCTAAGTGATTTCACTAGTATAGCTCTGTGGGACCTGTTTTTACAGATGGATTTAACAGAGTGAAGGCTATTTGCATTTTATCTATGCTAAATATTTCCAAATTGCTCTCCACAAATTAAATTGCCTATTTTTCCATTTTTCTTTTATTTTCTTCCCTACTTCTTTCTTTCTTGGTACTGGGAATTGAACTATATCCCCAGCCCTTTTTTATTTTTCATTTTGCAAAAATGGTCCTGTTAAGTTGCTAAGTTGTCTGGGCTGGGTCCAAACTTAGGATTCTCCTGACTTAGCCTTCTGGAGCACTGGAATTATGATATGTGCCATCACACCTAGCTAGATTGCCTATTTTTCTATGATAGCTAGCTTTCTGACCCTGTTACAAAATACCTGAGGAAATCAACTTAATAAAGGAAATGGCTTATTTTAGTTTATGGTTTCAGAAGTTCAGTCCGTGGTTGCTTAGCCTGGGTACTTTGGACCTGTGGTGACCCAGTTCATCATGATGGGCCTGTGTGACAGAGGAGGACAGTTTGCCTGATGGCAGCCAGAAAGCAAAGAAAAGAGAAGAGAAGGGCTGAGGTCCCCATATTCTTTTTAGGGGTGTATCTTAATGACTTGGTTTCCCCAAAATAGGCCCTGCCTCTTCAAAATTCCACACCTCCCAGTGGGGTCTGGGCTGGAACCAAGCCTTGACCAAGCCATGTGTTCACATGGCCTTTGGCTCATTTCAGGTCCAAGCTCTAGCCTTCTTCCCTCTCCAGCATGTGAAAATCTCTATTTTCCTTGCCGACCATTCTATTGTCAGATGTTTTGAGCTTTACAAACAATAGACGAAAAATACGAAGTCAGTATTTACGATTGTTTGGAATTGCCTTCCTCCTTCCTAAAACGATGGTCTAGCACCTATCTTCATGCCTTGAACATAAAGTTCTTCTGTAGTAGTGATTTTATATTGTCTTTTACATTTTTCACCTTTTAAAAAACTCCTTTTTTTCTAAGTTGACACAATACATTCTCTTAATCCTAATTTTCTGTGAACCATGTTTTCAGGTCCAGGGTGCACAATACCAGTTTCCCCAAGTCCAGGGATAGGGAAGCAAGTTTGCTTTGTGACTGTTCCTTGATCCTGAATTAGTGTTTAATCCTGAATTAGTTTTTGTTGTCCCTTAGGTGTGTCCCTTTTCTGCTGTCTCAAAGTTGCTTCTGTTCTTCATTTCTCAAAATACCACTATTGTGGCATCTTACCATGTGTTCAGGATGGCAGAGCATGGCCGCCAACTACAGAAGGGATTTTAGACATTCTGGGGCCTAGAAGTCCGCTGTGTGCTCCTTTTCTGGGAACTGCTTATGGGCTTCTTTTCCTGCAGACTTGAGCCTCCTCCCAGTTTGTGTTCACTTTCCCTCCCACCTGTCTTTTTTTCTGTGCCTCTGGGTCCTGCCCATAGAGTCAGCTACTGTTAGAGGAACAGGGTGATGCTGGGGCTTGAACCATGGGCCTTACACATTCTAGGCAAGAGCTCTACCACTAAGATATTCCCTACCAGCCATATCCTTTTCATTTTCACTTTCTGTTTTTCATTTACAGCTTCATTTGCAGAACATGCCTTGAAGAGGCCTCACATAAAATGAAGGTGCTCTAGCAATTAGTTTTCCTCAAAAATAAACCTATGTCCTTAAGAGAAACTCTGTTGTTAAAATAGCAGTTTTCA